TGAATGTTTTTCCCGATATAGCTGGATGCACACTCTAATCTTACGCAGGGAACCGGGCCTGGCGTCCCTTGAAGCACAATTGCACGGACTTCGTGCTCTCCCGTGTTATGGTCCGGTAGACGACTGTCGGCATTGATTGCTCCCCTTTGGAATGATTAACCGACAAAGTCAAGCCCACTCAGTTGTCACAAAACCACTACCCCTACTTCTGTCAACAAAAACCGCAGTGTCAACAAAAACTGCAGGCAACCCGCGCTACAGCCCGGGAGCCCCCGTCAGCGTTGATTGCTCCCCTCTGGAAGGAATTGGCTGACAATTGAATTGAGCCCATTTCGTTGACACAACCCCCTCCCCCCCTGCTTTGCAATCCCTCCTGTCCCAAGGAAAACACAGGTCACGCAGGGTCCAGAGACCTGTGTCCTTTATTTTCAGCCTGAAGCTATGCTGACACTCGTGGCCGACAGCCCGCTGTGCACTGAGCGGGCTTTCCCAATCTGGCTTTTCCATAGCTCCTTCTCTTCCCCCCAGGCCTCGCCAATTCCGCACTACCATCTTCCCTGGAATAGAACATACGGACATTATTGCTGTCTCTAGCATGAAAGTTGGCCCAAAAAACAGCTATAGTGACCATGCATTCTATTCGGGGGAAGACAGTAGTGGGGGAAGCATCGGATATGTAGGCTAGTGGGATAAGGGTACTGGAGAGGAGGAAGGTGAATTAGGGATGGGTCGGATGTCGCAGGAGTGCAATTCGGGATTCTGGAGCGGCCTGGGAAATGGGAGGAAGTGGAGAGTAAGTGGGAGATTGTCAGTGGGAGTAGATGGCGGGGAGGGTTGGAGAGGGAAGCATAGTGACGCCCGCGACTTGGGCTGGCAGCGATGACCTGGCCATGCGCGGGCAAAACGAGAGTCGGGGTGCCCAAATGTGTATAGTGAGGCGAAGCTCGCTTGTTGGAGGTCATGGTGGAAGTGCATATGTCGGGGGTAACGATGAGGATGGTGTGTGAAAGAGGGGTTAAAAAAAAAAGGATAGGGAAAGGTGTTTGAATATGGGACCGGTATGAATGGCGTTCTGTTGAGCCCTGGCATCAGGAACTGCGTTGGAAACAAAGGGTCAATAAGAATTGAACATAGCTGCGGATGGGTACGGTGACATGCATCTCTCCGGCTGAAAAGCCCACTTCATGGCCCGCTCCTGTGTGCCAAGCAAGACGACAACTACCGTCTTCACCTGAATCGAACGCCCGGTCATTATCCCTTTATCTAGACTCAACGTTGCCCGAACACAGCTATAATGACCGGGTGTTCTATTCGCATGACGAAGACAGGGCTGCTGGTTGTGGGTCCTCTTTCTCTCTCGCTTCAAGTACGCTCACCGGTGATAAGCAACAGGGTCGGTGCCCCCGTAATAGATCGGGCCTGTGTAGCATGGATTTCAAAAAAAAAACACACAAAGAAGTTGAAAAACACTCCAAAGCTAGGCTACCAGAGTGGCCAGGGGCAACTGGCCCGTGCGCGATTTAGGGTCTACCGGGAATTTTACCCTAAATCGTGACGGGAAGGGGGGGATGTCGCGGGGTTGCAGGGTCTTTGGCTGCTGCTGTGCGGGTGGTAGGGTATTATTTGAAATTTGAATTTATTTCCACTGGCTTGCAAAAACACCATCATGGTGGGAGTTGCTGTTCTCTGGTAACGGTGAGTGAAGGTGGCACTAAATTAGGGTTTACGGGGACCCCCATTTTCAGGTCCTGACCAACCGACCCAAAACAGAAATAACTAAATTAGGGTTTTTTTTTTTTTTTTTTTTTTCTTGTTGTGCCTGTTTTTGTTTTGGGTCAAGGTTTGGGTATATACCAAATGTGGTCTCATTTGGAGCATTGGAATTTCCTCTGCTGAGATTTCTGAAATTTCTCAAGATTTCTGAAATTGAATGTTGGCGAAATTTACATGAAATATTGCACTTTCGCCTCGCTGTTTTACAGTAAAAAAAATAAAAAAAATTAAAAAAAATTAGTAACTAGTTAGTATGGTCTGCACTCTATGAATTGCTGGCAAGTTTGGATAAAATGATTAAAATCGTTAATTAAAATGACTCGTGGGTTTTGTTATAAACGGCATGACAAGTAATCTGAAAAATTCAGGTCTCCGTTAACCATCTCTCGCGGGTGGAGGTGCAATCTGCCCTGAGTCGTGAGGAGGTGGGTGGGTTTTCCAGGGTATTTGGCCCCTGCCGTGTGGGTGGTAGGGTATTTCTGCTGGCTTGTGGTGCCTGTGGAGGTGCAGTGTGATTTAACACTTGCTGTGCTTGTTCCCCTGTCGGCGCTGTCGCTACTTCCGTCTGGTCTGGAATTGATATCCCACAATCCCTACCTAAGGGCATTCTCACAGTAGGACTTTTCCTACTAAGTTTTGGACGTGATTGCAGTCAGATTCTTCCAGGTTTGGCCGTAATTGCAGTCAGATTCATCCAGGTTCGGATGTAATTGCAGTCACATGCACTTAGGACATTGCTCGTGTGAGTATGTCCTCAGACATTGATCTTTGAGTATTGCCTCTTTCAGAGTCTTTCCTAATGCTCCACCTGTGTAGATGAATACCTGCTTTTCCTTCGCAGGTACTTCTTGATTGTCTTTGGTGACGTTCCGAACTTCGTGGCTTCTCCTTTATTTCTGTTTCAAATTTGTCGGTCGTCATTGCCGAAGCTGGTTCCTTTTCTGCCAGAGAGAGAGAGAGAGAGAGAGAGAGAGAGAGAGAGAGAGAGAGAGAGAGAGAGAGAGAGAGAGAGAGAGAGAAGGCTCTTCCCCAGCAGCACGTTGGCTTCGAGCAGTCAATCAACCACCAAGGTAGGGAGTGAAGTATGTTGTCACAACTTGTCAGGTGCTTGTTTAGTTAGTGAGCTTTTTTTTTTCCCTTTTTTCTTTGTGCTTTTTTTTTTTTTAAGAAAAACGAAAAGAAGAACAATTGGGCCCAGTGCCCAAGGCTAGATTACACACCACTCTGCCGGAAACCGGGCCCGGTGTCCCTTACAGAAAAAGTGGGGCGGCCCCATCAGAGCGATCCAGGCACTGCGGACTGGTTCATTCCTCTAGGCTGCACGACAAGACCAACCCAAACGAAGAACGTCTAAAACCCCCACCCAGTCAGGCTCACTGCTAAAAACAACAGCAAAACCACGAAAAAGGTAACCATCCAAAACTGTCGCCACACCCTGCAGCAGCACTCTGCCACCCGCACGACAAGGGGGTCTGTATCCACAGACCCCTGACCGCAAACACAGACCCCACAAAACCCACCCACCTCCAGATCAGAAGGACGTTGCAACGGAGGAAGTTCAGACGGAAACAATTCCAGGCTAACGACAAATTGAGCTAAAAAAAAAGATCTAGTTATGGCTACAGAATATGGAGAGAGAATGGCGGTCAATCCCCTCCCTTCCCTCCCTTCCCTCCTCCCCTCCCTCCCCCCCTCCCCCCTGCCAGAGGGGCAATCAATGAATCTTGTCACTCCATTTTCAGAAATCTTTGCTACTTGGACGCTGGACCCGGTTTCCAGCTGGTGATGCTCCCCACCAATAGATGGAGCGGCTCACTAGGCAAAGCCTCAATCCCGGTGGTTCTCTTACCGCCACTGGGATAGAGGCCTTGCACAAGNATGGACCGCACGATGGACCTGTTTTCCACAGCAGGTGAAGCTCCCCACCAGTAGGTGGAGCCTTTCCAGGCAGCCTAGTACAGGCTGAAGAGGCATCCCCCCTGGTCCAGAATTTCCTGAGGGGTTCCTCACGACCTGTCTCTTATACACATCTAGATGTGTATAAGAGACAGCCACGTAATAAAATCAAAGTACCCCGGTGGTGGTGTCGGGCCAGGTGCCATAACTGGTTGGCCATGGTTTCAGACAGGAAAAAAAAAAAAAAAAAAAGGAAAACAATAATAAAATGCATCCATGACCATAAACTGGCATAAAGCCATACCCTTAATAATAATATTAAAGGAACAAAAGAAAGAAGAAGAAATGACAACTTCTTCTTCTTCTTCTTCTTCTTCTTCTTCTTCTTTTCTTTTCTTTTCTTTCTTTTTTTTTGTTTTTTTTTGTTTTTTTGTTTGCTTGTTTGTTTGTTTGTTTGTTTGCTTGTTTGTTTGTTTACAGAGATGACAGCATTTAGAAGAACTGTATCCGGAAAAGGCATAAAAAAACATAATCTCCCGGCCGGCCTTCAACGAAACCAGGCACTATAAACTGCACGAATTCTCACACCTGATTCAAAAAACAATGAGAGCTATACACAGGCTGTACACGGGCAATAAAAAAAAATAAAAAATAAAGGCCAAAACAAGGGAGGATTTATTAAAAACAAGGAGGGGAGGGGGGGAGAGAACTAAAAACGAAAAAAAAAAAAAAAAAAAAACCCTGCTATGTTACAACTGTTCTCCCATCCGTCCATAGCCTTGGATCAGGTCTCAACTTCCTATGAACCAAATCTCAATGAATCGAACTAAAAATGTTCTATTTTAAACTATTTTAGACTATTTTCTCATTTTCAAGGCAAAAGGAAAATGAATCGAATCAAATTAACTTTGTGTAACTGCTAAGTGTGCTCCGCACAGGATGGACAGGTAATATGGATGGGAACATTTCAAAAGGAAAAGAAAAAAAAAAAAAAAAAAAAAAAAGAGAGGAATGGCCAGCTTCAGCTCTCCCAAGGGTGGGTGGGCGGGCGGGCGGGTGGGTGGGTGGGTGGGGGTGGTGGCCCTTCAGCTGTCCATTTCTGTGCTATATGTAGCTTGAACTAAGAGTGTGTGAGTGAGAGGGAGTCCATAGGGACATGTGGGTTAAGACACATCATTCTGTGCTATTTTAGCACGAATTTGGGCCCCCTCCATGACCAGATTCGTGGTAAATTAGCATGAACGGTGAATACCACCCAGTGTGAGCTCGCTGAATTTACCTGGCATGAGTTCCTAGTATGGCAAGGGACTAACCGAGACACATAATGCAGACTGCGTAATTATATCGACCAAAAAAAAGAAAAAAAAGGAGAGTGTGAGTGTGAGTGTGAGTGTGAGTGTTTGTACAAGAGGGGAAACTATAACACACTCCTTTCTTCGATGAAAACGCCTCGACCTGTTTGCCTATACCACCTCCCAGGGGTTTCCAGTTGCTTTCGTACCTTTTCTTTGTACTCGACCTTGGCTTCGTAGTCAGAATGAAACGGCATGGGAGGTAAATTGAGTACCATCTCCCAATCTACTTCGCCGGGTCTCTCCAACAGCACAAATTGGACGGACAGATGTCTTTGCTGCAGCTTCTTCCACTTCACGAAAAACTTCTTGGGCGTCATTCTGCGGACGAAAAGCCTAACAGTTACACTTCTGAGCCTCGGGCAGGACGACAAAAACATCTCCAGAACTCCTATCGTATAGAAAGTCCCGTACCCGGCGCAGAGGTCGACGGATTCCAACTTCGGAGCATAGAGGAGACCCCTCAGGTTCTTCCGAGAGAACCCGCGCTTGACTTCCACAAACTTCTCCAGCCAAGTGACCATCCCCATTCTCCTAATCTCGAGCGTCTGCAGCTGAGGTAGCTCATTGATCAGAGCCTCCGATACCGCCATCACGTCGGACCGCGATTCGGGACCAGGGACAGAGTCGACTTCCAAGGAGAGATGAGAGAGCAGGCGCCTGTGATGACTGATGAGAGCGACCAAGTCCTCCGCCTTCCAGAACAAGAGGCTCTTGTCCTCCTCGCTGCACGCTTGGTAAACGAGCGAGATGGAGAGTGCGATCGGTACCCTCTTCGCCCTCCACGGATTGCTGTGCCCGTTGAAAGAGGAGTAGTAGTAGGCGGAGGAGGTGGAAGTCGAGGAGGGGAGGGAGCAGGTCGATGAGGACGAGGAGGAGGAGGAGGACGGAGCTGAGAAATGGCATTGCAGACAGTGGTCTAACTCCATGACCTCTGGCATCGTCCCTTTGTCGAGACACAGGCTTCTAACAAACCTCAACTCCAAACGCTCCAGACTGGGAGCGTCAATCGTCACACTGTCAAGGCTTGACCGGAAACCCGTGCCCAACCTCAACACCTTCAGACTTTTCGACCCCACAAAGGCCATTTTTACCCCCGTTATCTTGTCCAAATGCAATACCTTAAGGTTTGGAAACGCACCAAAGGGCGGTTCAAAATACTCGCACCCAAAGAATGCCACTTCGCTCACTGCCAAGTGCTCGAGACTTGCAAAAGGCTTTCGCGACTGCAACGACTCGAGTTGGCTCGTGCTCAGATGCAGACAGTTAAACGTGTACGGGCAACATACTTCCAGCTTCCGCAGCTTGACGCAATGGTCCATCACCGAGGAGACAAGGCGGTGGAGAAAACACTTGGGATCGGCCACGCCCGTGTTGAAGTTGCAGTTGTCCTCCGCAACATTGTCCTTGAAACTGAACTCCTCTAGAAACTTGCTCGTATGTGCTAGCCACGCCTCCACAACCTCGGGACCCCAGCCGGGGTACTTCTCACAGCAGATCGTCAAGCTCTTCAGGTACGTGGTCCGGAGAATGGCTGCTGTCACATGCTTGTTGATGTCAACCTGAAAACTTCCCTCCCACCTTTTCATCTCAAACCGTAGAATGGGCACCTGCTCGCAAAAATGCAATCCCCCCCCCCCCCCCCCCCCCACCCCCCACCCCCAACCCCCCACACCCGTCCACCAAAAACGAATAACAATTCCACCACAATTTTCAAAAGAATCAGAAAAAAAATCAAACTCAACGAACCTCAAACTCAAAAGATATTTTTAATTTTTTAACAAAGCATGTATTGAATTGTATTCCCTTTGGCTCAGAAATTACCTGGGGATATAGATGTGTCAGATTGCTTCCTCCATTCTTTTCTTAAGGAAAAAAAAAAAAAAGGCCGACAGCCGAGCCATGAGATATCGACGCGGAACTGGCCGGCCCCAGGCAATTCAGAAATCCATTCAACAAGTTGCATCTGGATTTAAATTAAAAAAAAAAAAAAAAAAAAGTTGCATCTGGATTTGAGCTCACGAAAAAAAAAAAAAAAAAAAAAAGTTGCATGTGCACCAACAGAGCTAGCCACATCCACATTCCCTTTTGGGGGGGGGAGGGGGCAAGTACCGTAAGTACGTATATTTATGTCAGAACAGAGTTTCGAATGGGCACAAAGAAAACGTGTGCGCAAAGAAAACGGCCCCGAGTTAGGAAAGAGAATCAAAGTACCCCGGTTGTGGTGTCTGGCCAGGTGCCATAACTGGTTGGCCATGGTGTCAGACAGGAAAAAAAAAAAAAAAAAAGGCTCAACGGATCTATTCGCCCGCGTGTGCCTATTCCAGTTTCGCAGCTCTTTGTTTCGCCCCCACGTGTTTGTTTTTGCCCATTTGAGATTAACGGCATACTCACACTCGGACCTTTGTACTTATGTGGACGTGATTGCGGTCAGCTGCATCTAGGTCTGACCGTAATTGCAGTCAGATGCGTTTTGAAAAGTGCTAGTGTGAACAGAAATTACCCCGAAATGGGAGATAGTCAAAATGCAGATTCAGACAATACGCTCAAAAAGCGACATCCAACAAAAAAATTCAGAATTTCCGCTCGAGCTGGCTGGGGGGGGGACAAAGGTGGAAGGATAGGAAGAGTGGAATGGAAAGGAGGAGGACAAAAGACAGGGGAGAGATTGGAAAGGGACTACCGGCTATTATTCAATGACTGGTCAAAGATGGACACAGCTATCCCGATGAGACCCGCCCAAGAGTTCCCCGACTTCTTCCCCCCACCATCAAACAGCCTGGTAGACTTGGAATGGTATGGCAGATGATGGGTGAAAGTAGGGATGGGAATAGACAGGTTTCAGGTGTAAAGTTGTTTGGTAGCAGTTACAGGAAAGTCAGGTCTCAGACTAGCAGTGATAGAGTGGTTAGTCTGCAAGTTTTGGCATTTCAAGGTCTTTGGGGGAAGGAAGAACCA